ATGTACACCTGAAATTTTTACAATGTTATAAACCAATGTTACTGCAATAAACAAAAAATTAAAATAAAATAAAATAAAATAAAATAAAATAAAATAAAATAAAATAGTATAGTTAACACATTATAATAATCCCCACATTTGGAGGAGAGAAATGGGAGTGGAGCATGGAGAAAAAGTGAAACAGATTTATACGGATATATATGAGGTGAATTCAAGGCCAAATTGATGAGGACACTGTCTCATATAATGAGAAGTATGATAATTCAACCATCTGTTCTTGACATCCAAAAACAGAGAAATTTGTGTTGTGCAATATTTAAAGGCTATTGTTTTATTATTAATTACTGCATGATCTGGCTAGATGCTCACCATTGCTTATCCTTTTTCTGGACATAGAGGAAGACTATACTTCCCAGTCTTATAATTAAGTAGGGTCCATGCACCTGTGTGCAGACCATGCACTATGGACAGAAGTGACATAGGCCAATTCCAGGCCTGTCCATACTGGATCTATTTTGGTTCTACCCATTCCATCTGACAACACAGCTGGAAACAAAGAACTTTTGATGAAAAGTCACGTGACGGAAGGAGATGTTTCCTGAGTCATTGCCTAGAAGATGGGGGCCTGGATGGTTACTTGACACACACTAAATATGACATCAGTGAGAATCATTCTTTTATTCAGGTAACAAATTATGATTCTGGATTTTTTTACTGCAACCAGTTACCTTGACTAATACAATAATGCTTGATTACAATGATGTTTAATGAAGATAACTAGAGAAGCTTTGTGTCTATTTATTTTTGTATATGTTATCAAATTTATTTTTTAAAAATTTTTATTTGAAAAGAAAATGTGATATATATTTATAAACAAATATGTCAAAAGAGGTTATGCAACTACAGATACGCATATCACACATATCCCAATTTTACTTAAAACATGTATTTGTGATGTATGTAAATATAACAAATTATGTTAATGTTGGCTACCAGTTGTGAGGATTTATTACAAACCACTCTTTATTTTGAAAATTTTCAAAAATTAAAGACAATTTAAATGAATACTATAGTGAATCTTGGCATAAACTTCAACCAGATTCATGACAAGATATCATCTTGCTGCATTGCCTTTATTTCCTTGCATGTATGTGAACACAAGCACACACACACTCTTTTTTTGTTGAATCATTTGAAAGGCAGTTACAAATCATAAGACATATCACTCCTTTAGCACGCAGAATAAGGACAATTTCTGATATTATTAAACTTCCATTATCACACGTAAGAACACTAACAATAATTCCTTCATATCAGCTATTAGACCATATTCAAATTGCCACAAAGGTCCTCAGTATCTCTTTCTAGCTGTTATTCTTCCTTATTCCATCCATGATGTTGTTGGAGTTTACACATTGCATTTTCTTTTTACGTTTTGTCAGTTTTTTAAATCTAGAATGATCACTCCATTTATTTTTTGCATGATGTCACCTTTTTGAAGAGTCCTGGTCAGTTGTCTTATAGAATGTGAAACCATGACAATTTAAAGTGTATTTTTAATTTTTATCCATATTCTAATTTTTTCCTCACACATTTTTTGGTCAGGAAATAACAAAAGGTTAAAAAAGTAAAATATATATTTGCATTTTATTTGCTGATGGCTTTGAGAGTCCTTTTTGCAAATATACAGTATTTTTAGAGCAGGTTCAGATTAATAGCAAAATTGAACAGAAGATACAGAGATTTCCCAAATACCTTCTACCCGACCCCCACACACGTGCATAGCTTCTCCCATTATCACATCCCCACCCAGAGTGGTCCATTTATTAAAACTGATGAACCTACACTGATACATCATAATAATCCAAAATTCATAGTTTAGATTAGGGTTCACGTCACATTAAGCATCTTTTCATGTACTTAATTGCTATCTGTATATCTTCTTTGTTGAGGTCTCTCTTAAGGTCTTTGGCCTAGTTTTTAATCAGGTTTTTTGTTTTGTTTTTTTATTGTTGAGTTTTAAGAGGTCTGTAATTTTCTAGCTAACTATTCTTTTTTTTTTT